TTGTCAATGTTTCTGATAAATCTCCAGGCGCTGCCATGTTTTCTTTTCTTGTGACAATTCATACTGAGCAATGGAAAAACGATCTAGAAATAAGTAAACATTTCTTAAAATAAGTTTATTTACCCTTAATTTGAGCAGGTACATGAGAGTTTCTCAATAGAATGAGTATTTTTACTCTTAAAATAAGATATTTAGATAAAATGCACTTGAAATACAACAGTGCAATTGTTTTTTTTTTCTTATTTTAAATATAAATTGTCTTGTCCCATTGGCAAAACGTCTCTCTTATCAAGAACAAATGCATTTATTTTAACAAAAATTTACTTATCTAGATGTTTTTTCCCCCAGTGTGGAACCTCCTGCAATGTTTGGTGATCAAGTTGCAGACTTTTCACCTTACATTTTTTTAAAGTCACAGTTTTCACTACTAAAAAAAACAATCTGCAAACCAAATATGGTGGTGAATATAATTCCTGCTGCAGACATTTGTTTATAAAACAAATAGAAGAGGGATGAGGACATAGGGGACACCATACTGCTGCAGAAAGGCTGTGATAACATTTCTGACCTATTGTGTCCTTGCTGAAAAAATAAAATAATGAGGTGTTGATGCTTTTATAACAAACAAAACAGGACCTGAGTTATTTTTCTGTTATGTTTTAATGACAAACTGTACATGTTGAATGATGAGCACACTTTCCACTAAAAGCAGGAGCGGCTCGGAGCATTTGGCCCCATTTAATGGGGCAGTTCATGATGCACCAGCTTGTAGTGAGACCCGCATGAAGGACACCGCTGGGGCTCTCCCTCATGGAGCCAGAACCACACTATAGCCGTGTTGTCCTCCTCGCCTGCAAACCAGAAAGAAAAGTCATATCCATGGTATCCGGCGGGCGTTACAACCTGGGAGGATCAGTAGATGCTTACAGAGACAGCCGACCATCCTCTTGTTTCCAATACCAGGGACAATGTGAGGGTCTTCCTTGGTACCGGTGTACTGTTTGGGCTTCAGGATGCTGTAGGGGTCCTGTGAAGTTAATGTGTGGAAATGTGGATCAATCAGAGCAGGTGGAGGTGTTTAAAACAAGAAAACATGAATGGAAAACCCACTTTTCCCTGTTTGAGGGCCTGCAGGGTGCGTCGCTCCAGCCCAGTGGCCTGTTCATCATCTGTTGGTATTCCTGAGGAAACAATAAAAAAAAAAAAGTTCAAGAGAAAAGAAGCAGAGGGATAAATAGTTTAGTGGCAATAAAAGTGAACTTTGTCACAGGACTCCTCCCTCTCCTCAGCAGGAAATTTGGCTGTAATCCAGGGAAAGCTGCCAGGTAGGAGGGTCTATCAAAGGCCACAGATGACCTTCATTACTGTTCAAACGCTGCTGCCATATATGGTTAAAATAAATATTAAATAAAGCATAAAGTTTATTACTGGGAGGGGAGAGTGTATGGGACAGGTAGAAAGCGGAGTTATTAAAATAAAAAATGCGCAATGATCTTAAATGACGCAGCTAATAGCGCCTCGGTGGACAGCTGTTAATAAAGCCCCCTACCTCCCGTAGCCACGGCACGCAGCGGTCTCCCCGCGGAGATCCCACGGAGCTGCAGGGCTCTGGAAGAGCAGGTTCGGAGGAGAAAACGGGCCGCCATGCTGGTGCTGTTATGGTTCCTGTCAGGTAAAGGCAATGACCTGAGTCTGACACCGCAGTCAGGCGGAGTAAAACGACCCGGACACAGCCGACCAATAGCAGGCAGAGTTACACTACACCGACCAATAGGAGGCAGAGTTAGAATAAACCGACCAATAGGATGGAAGGGAGGGAGGGAGGGCTGACCAATGAACGCCAGGTTAAAATGACAGTTAAACAGCTTTTTTAATAATTTAATCAAGTGTTTTGATTATTATAAATCGCAGATAAAATATATACTATTACAATATTAAAATAAATGCTATACTTCGAAAGGTATTTTCATCTACTTGATACTTTTATCAAGTTTTGCTTTGTGTGAATTAAAAGTCATTGTGGAGGTGATCACCCAGGAGGTTCTGTTGGAAACTATCTTTTGATGTTTCTGGTCATGTGGACCGGCACCAAGTCCTGCTACAAAATGAAATCAACATGTTCACAAAACTTTTCAGCATTAGGAAGCAAAATTGTCTCACAGATTTCCTGGTTAATGGCTTCATGGGATGGACTTCAGAAAATCACTAAATCAATATGATGAGGCACCAAAAAGGACAGCTGAAGGTGGAAACCAGAGGCTGTTCACTCTTCCTCCTGACCCAGAGGCCTTTATTTGATAAATTAATAAAAACTTTATTAATTATCTGAAAGGACGACATTAGAGCAACAGTTTGATTCTTTTTCTAATCAGCACTGAAACCTCTGATTGTTGTGGTGCATCCTTTACCAGCACACTTTTTCCCTCCACTAAACTTTTTTTTTAACGAAAATAAAAACTGTTTCACTGTATGAAATGTTTTCTAAAAGAATTTTCAGAGTTCATAAACTGTAATGAATTAGAAAAAAATGGCTTGAAATAATACTCTATGCACATTTCAATTACTAACAAAACATTTTAAACTTTTTACACAATACTTTTATGATCAGTGTTATTTTTCTCCTATTTATAAACCTATTT